GTCTGGGTGGGGCAGTGGGGGAGGGGGAACGTCAGGGGAGGCCCTGTAGCGGAGGGTGCTGCAGGCACCTGGCAGGGCTGGGCTGGGGGTGTCTCCTGCCCCCGGAGTGGTCTGGGGCTTCCCCCTGGGGGTCTTGTGCTATGTGGGGGTCTTCTGTCTCTACCTCCCTGTTTGTGCATGGAGGGGCTCCTGCTTTTAAAGGGGAAGGGGGCTCCCATGCAAGGGTCCCAGCCCTGCCAGGCTTACGGTCTGTCTCCTGCCTGGCCCAGGTGTTTGTGCTGCTGTTCATCTTTGTGAAGAGGCAGATCATGCGCTTTGCCATGAAGTCCCGCCGTGGCCCCCACGTGCCGGTCGGGCAGCATGCCCCCAAGGTGGGTGCAGCAGGGGGGAGGGGGGGGTCTCTTCCCTTCACGGGGCCGGGGTCTCTTGTCAGGGGGAGGTGAAAGATGGTTGGTGCAGTGAGATGCGGGTATTTGTCTCTGCTGCATCTCGCAGGCTGAGTGGGGATGGGCAGCCCCCAGACCTTTGGGGGTCACAGAGGCTGCAGGGAACGGTTTGGATGGCTTGAGGAGCAGCGCTGCTCTCTGGTTAGCTACAGAGACGCCCAGGGCTTCAGCTGGGTGCATGGGAATCCTTTACTCCAGTGGAGCGTGTCTTTAAATGAACTTTAAACCAGCCGCCACACCCATGGGTAGCGTGAAAAATCCATGACACTTTTTGTTGGGTCTGAAAGGCTAAATAAACCGACAGCTGTGCCCCGACTTCTCTTTGCATAGGGGGACTTTATTTTCTGCTGCTTTATAATTGCTAGAAAACCCCAGCCTCCCCCAATGCTTCTTGGCAGTGCTGGGTGAAGTGATTCTGGCATACTGGTTTACTCACGCCAGGAGGCCCTTTGGAAAGGAGGGCGGGCTCTAAATGTGGGGTGCTTTGTTTTCTTTTCTGGATAGGACCTGAAAGAGGAGATCGATGTTCGACTGTCCAGAGTACAGGACATTAAGTATGAGCCACAGCTGCTGGCCGAAGACGATGCCAGGCTTCTGCAGCTAGAGACCTCTGGCAGCCAGTGTACTGCACCCTCCCTTCTTCCTGGGGGAATGGAGGGGTGGAGGAGGGTCCGGGGCCTCCCCTACAACACACCTGCTTTTCCCTAGGCCCTTGATCCTACACCTAGGGGCAAGCAATACCATTGCAAAGGCTAACCAGGGTAGCCCCCGGGTTCCCCCCAGTCTCCCACAAAGCAGCAGATTGCAGCCTGCCTTCTCTGTGTGGACTCTGGCTCCTAGTCTGAGGAAGGCTTACGGGGCATGTGACCCAGGGAGAACATGGCTCTAGGCCAGCCCTAGTCTGACACTCCAAGCCTGTGCATCAGCCGCCACATGGAGGAGATGGAGAGTCAGTTACCAGTCATGCTGCCTGCACAGATTAGCCTTGTAGTTGGGGGCTGTCCTCACTGCACCGGGAAAGGCTCCAACAGGGCGATTGGCAGCTGTTGCAGTGCTGTTGTGCCCGCGTACAGTTGTGAGCATGTCCTGTTTCTCTCCAGACCATGTGGAGCCATCAGTTTGTATTTTCTCTTTCCCAGGTTGCTATAACTACTTGTACCGCATGAAGGCACTGGACGCAATCAGAACTTCAGGTAAGAGAGAGCACTGCTGGGTGGGGAGTCCAGGAGTGGCCAGAATGTTCTCGGTCTGTGGTTTGCAGCTGATCCCCTCCCTCTCGCCTATGTGGGAGAGGATCCCAGCCAGATGGGGTAGGGGTCTGCATTGCTGCATAAGGCTTAGGACCCTCTGCACTAGCACAGGACTAGCTGGTAGTGGGACTGACCAGACACGGAGTGAAACTGTCTGAGCAGATGCATTAGTTCCTTTATTGAGGTTGAGCAAAAGGCTGGAGACAAGGCGGCAGAATCGGTGGGGAATCGTTTGCTCTGAACTTGCTCACTCTCAGTGTGTATGCAGTGTAACAGAGTTGCAAGAAATGCATCGGGAACCCTCCTGAAAGTATTTTTCGCAGCTTGGCCGGGTCCAGGCTGAGACACCTGGTCTCCGATGCTTAAGGAAAACTTTCAGATTACCTGCTGTTTCTGCCTTCTGTAACTGAAGCTCCTCTTGAGCGAGGTGCAGGGCTTTCCCAAACCTGACTCATTGTCTGTGCTATACAGGGCTCCAGCAGAGGCAGATCAGGGAGCTTACGGTGGAGTGGGGGTTATCATGGCTAAGTTGACCCACAGGTCTCTTCCAGCCTCTGCCCCAGGAGTCCCGCTGGAGCCAGGCTGAGCTCTGCGCTCTGACCAGGGATCTGCCTGTGCTTCTGCTGCTCCGTGAGAGAGGCTCATGTGTACTGCAGAGGGGCTGGGAATCCCCCATCAAGGTAGCAGCATGTGATCTGCAGTTACTCTCCAGGGCAGGCAGCAGGAGCTGCTTCAGAGGCTGCAGGAGCACTTGGGCATGCTGCCCAGTGCCCTGCCTGTCATCATGCCTGTTGGTTTTCCAGACATCCCGTTTTATGCAGATGGCAGATACCCCAAGGCCTTAATAGGGAAGAGCTTCCGGGCCTACTTGCTGGAGCTGAGGAACTCCAGCACTCCCTTCAAAGGCATCCGCAAGACCTTGGTGGACACCCTGCTGGACGGGTATGACAGCGCCCGCTACGGCACGGGGGTAAGCGCAGGCCCGGGGTGGATCTCAGTGGAGCCAGCTGCTGCCTTGGCAGCATTGCTCACGCCTGCTCTTTGTTCCGCTCCTGCCCTGGGCAGAACCCAGCCAGTGGACAGGATCTCTGAGGAGCTCTTCTGTTTGTGCCCAGGTCTTTGGGAAGACTGAGTATCTGAAGTACCAGGAAGCCCTGACTGAGCTAGCAAACATGTGAGTCTCACTGGTACCTGGTAGACAACAGGTGGTGGGGGGACATGACACTCTCTCTCTGAGCCTTGCTCTGCACAACAGGAGAGGGGATGCACAGAACCTGTGCCCATTACTTAAGCTTACGGTACATCCCTTTGTGCTTCTTGCGGTTTCAGTGTTGGAGCCATTAATGCTACTCGGGTAGCAGTGGCCTGCGAGGCTTCTCCCACAACCAGGCTAGTGCCAGGGGCTCCAGGGCCCTGAGAGCAAAGTGCTTGGTTCTGAACATCAGTGGTACCAGACACCAAACCTGTCTGTCCAGCACAAGAAAGGACATTAGGCTGTGTGTGGGGAAACAGCAGAGCCCCAAGCTGTCCCTGTGTGGGGGCAGATGAGCAGGCAGCTGCCCCAGGGAGGGCTGCCATGTTCTTGGATTCAGTCACATTCCTTTCTTCCACAGCATCAAGGCGCGAGGAGGCAGCAGCCAGCGGCAGCACCAGTCGGCAGCCAAGGACCTCACGCTCTCGCCTGAGGTCTCCAACCCCGCGACCATCCAGGTCACCTACCTGCCTTCCAGCCAGAAGAGCAAACGTGCCAAACACTTCCTGGAGCTGAAGAGCTTCAAGGACAACTATAACACGCTGGAGAGCACCCTGTGAGCTCCCGGGACCTGCCATGAAGAGAACTCCTCTCCAGGCAGGGTACTGTGGTGTCCTGGCAGTGAGGAGGCTGCAGGGCTCTGGGATCACTCCCTGCCACGTGGTATTGGATGTCACGGGTGGCTCCGTGGAAGCTTCGTCTGGGTGGGGGAAGCCTGTCCCCTGGCCGGGAAGCTCCTTCCAAAGCAGCAGGCTGGCTGCAGAGCTGGAAGGTGACCAGCCCCCTGCATGGGCTCCGAAGAGATTCCAGACTTGTTCCCTTTCTCAGCTAGTGGCTTTGCAGGTGCTAGCCTTGTGCATAGACCACTTGATTAGCTTTAGCTTATTTATGAGATGATCTGGGTCAGTGCTTGCCTCTGCCTGTGCCCTCGCTCCCAGGGATGGCAGGCAGGGCTGATCCTCCATCTGTCATGTCTGTGCGGGCATGGGGCTCTCTGGACCTGTTCCTTCCAAAGGGGAAATGCTTCTCCTGGTTCTCTACTGCAACAGGGGCCTGTGGACAACCCCTTGCCCATCAGCCGATTGTGCTTACGTATTCCTTGGTACACCAGGATCCGAGTCTGGATAACCCAAGTAAATCATTGTAAATAGTTCCGTGTCTGCTCTGGAGCTGGGGGTGGCCTGTTCCCTTGGCAGGGCCAGGGTCTGGCTGCTGCCTGTTCTTTACAGCAGAGCAGAAACCTGCTTCCAGCACAGCCTGCCCTGCTGGGGGCTGCCCTCCTTGCTCGCACCGGACTGTGTGATGTTGCTGCAGGAGCCCCTCCTGCAGGTCTGAGGGGGCGGGATGGCCCGCAGCAGCCGGGAGCTGCAACGTCTGGAGGCTTGAAACCCTCTCTCGGCAGGGACTCCGCGCAGTGTTTCCTGTGTGCCAGTCCCCTGGGCTGGGCTGGTGGCTCCTCACCGTGGTGTGAGCAGGACACGATGCCCCCAGCTGCCATGCGTGCGTGTTCCCCCTCTTTTTAAATCGCTGTTTAATAAACCAATGGTCCTCCAGAGCTGGTGTCTGTGTGGAGCCTTCTGCAGGAGCCCTGCCTGCTGGGCTCTGTTCTGTACAGTGGGAGCTGTGGGGTGATAAATTCACGGCTGGGTCTGTCTTGGCTGGGTGGGAGCATGTGGGCGGAGAGCACCCTTGTTTCACCTGGGAAGCAGGAAGAGCTGGGGACTGGCAGGGCCCTTTGTACCTAACCCTTATCCTTACCTGTTCCTTGTACTGGGAGCTTGGGGCATTGGCCAGCTGTGCCTGTCGAATCAGAGAGAGAGTCCTGGGGCTCAGCCTGCTGCCTCCACGGCTGTCAGGGACAGCTCACTGCCTTCACTCACATGGACCAAAGCAGGTGAGGGTATAAACAATAAACTGGTGCAGCAGGGCCTGACCTCCAGCATTGTCACTCTCCACACGTGTTGCAGGCTTGTGTAGCCTGGACCCCAATTCAGTTCCTACCCTTACCAGAAGTGTCCCCAGGGCCAACTGCCTGCAAAGCGTGGGGTGGGCACCCCCCACTTCCATGCTTGGAGGTCTAGGCTGAGCCAGGGGAGGTGGAGCTGCCTCCAAGTGAAGACATGGGACTGAGTAGGCAGGCCAGGGTGCTGGGGATGGTACTGTTATGGATGCCCTTGCATACTCAGCCCCCTGAGTGCTGACCTCTGACTTCCCTGCCCACTGCCTCCAAGGCAACCAGGACAGTCCAATCAGGGCTCCTGTCTTTGTTTCCAGGTTGTAGCTACCATGGTGACAGGATGCAAACAGTAACAGACTGGGTGGGAACATGGAGCCTGCACCTACCCTGGCAGTGGCACCTGGGAAGAGGGCCAGGAGCAGGCCCATCCCTGTGCTTCAGCAGATCCTGAAGCAGGAGGAGGTGGGCAAGGGCAGGAACAAGCGAGGAGGGAAACCCAAATCCCTGGGAGCACACACTGCCTGGGTACTACAGCTGTTGCATGGCAGCCAGGAGCAGAGGCGCTCCCCACAAGAGGCTCGCCTGGTATCCCTGGGGTGGGGGTAGGTCTGCTAGGGCATCTTCCTGGACCCCTGCAAGTGGAGGGGCTGGGGCCTGTCCTTACCAGGCCAGTCCTGGGCCAGCTGCTGCCCAGAACCAGGGCCCACAGGTGTTTTCCACCTAGAGCTACAGCAGGTATCGAACCATCGCCTTTGCTTGTGCAGGGGACCCTGCATCCTGGCCGTGCTCCAGCCTGCTCAGGGGCATCCTGCCCTTGCCCCAGTCCACCACTCGCCCCCTGGCGGTGACCACTGTCAAACTGGGACACCTGCATGGTTCATCACCAGCTCGGCTCCTCCCAGGGCAGTGCAGGGACTGGGCTGGCGGTTTGAGCTGGGCGTGGGGCAGGTTCCCACTGACCGCTGCTTTGATTCTAGCTGCTGGCAAAGGTGGAGGACTACAAGAAGCTGGTGCAAAGGTAAAGGGGCTCTGGCCACTGTCGCCTGCCATGGGGCTGTTGCAGTGCAGCCCCACTTACTCAGCTGGCAGCAGTGGCTTGTCCAGGCTCTCACCACTGGGAACAGCTCAGCCCAGCCCAGGGCCCTGCGCAGGGCAGGCCCGGAGGGTTGGTGCCCCCCTCCCTGTGGTTTGTTCCCCATTCTCCTTCAGCCAAGCCTGGCCCTGCTGGGGTTGGGCAGCTGCTCCCTTATCTGCTGGTGTGAGATACTCCACAGGCTGCTTGGTCCCCTCTCGGCTTTGCCCAGGCCCCAGGGGCCCTCCCTGGTGCCCAGCCAGGTGCCCCTACTCAGTGCCTTCACTCTGGCTGGCAGGTGGGAGCAGGAGCGGCAGCAGGCACTGCAGAGGGTGCAGCAGGAGCAGCGGTCCCTGGTCGCAAGCTGGCGGCAGCTCCGCCACGGCCTTGCAGAGGAGCTGCGCCTTGCCAGCAAGGAGCTTGTGCTGGTAAGGGCAGTGAGGCCCAGGCCAGGGCTGGGCAGGTCCTGACCCAGAGACCCAGGCTCCAGCCTGGCTCTGAAGAAGGCGCCCTGATCCTGGTGCTGTGGTGCTCTCCTGCCAGGTGCGGCGCGCAGCCCTGTGCTCCCTGCTCCAGCAAGAACAGCTGCAGCATCAACAGGAGCTGGCACGGCTCGGCTGGGCCTTCTACACAGAGCGGCTCTGAGCGCCCAAGAAACCCCCTCCCAGTGCCGGCTGCGTGTGCAGAGTCACACTGGGGTAGGCAGCAGGAGATGCCTTCCTGGGGGCCCTGTCACAGAGGGGCACAGACTGGGCAGAGTGACCGCAGTGGCAGCACAAGCTGCCCAATGACTCAGGCACTGCAGTGACCTGTGTGGGGTTGCCCATTTCCACCCCTCCACACTCAGTGCCTCCAGATTCACAGCCTTCGTTGCATCCCGGCACTTCCCCCTCTTCGCTCACCAGAGCCAAGCAGTGCCCTATGAACCAGGAGCAGCTATGGAAAATGCAGTCGGATGCGCATAGAGATGCCGTCACTCCTCTGTCTTGTCATGAATGTGTCAGCTAATTACCATTAAATCAGGGTCGAGAGGCTCCCCAGCTCTGTGGCCTGTGTCGCTTTGCTCCCAGGGCCTGAACCTGCCCCCAGCAGATCCCCACAGCGCTTGGTTCAGAGCTGCTGCTCCAGGGCTTCCTGACCCCTGCCTCAACCCAGACCAAGTTGGGCCTGAGCTCTCTGCTCCCTGATTGCTGATGGGAGAATCGCATCTGTCCTAGCCCCAGCTGGCCTGAACCACCCAAAAGAGCATCGGTGGTTGGCAGAGAAGACCTGAGCAGGAGTTCCTGGGAGGGCATGGGCAGGTGTACACACAGGCGTACACACATCCATGTGTGCCCAGCACATGCAAACCTGCCTTCCCCCCCTGCACACGCTGACATGGCAGAGGCATGGACCCTGGCGCGCACAGCCTCTGACCCAGCACACACCTGCTCTGCACTGCCTGGCACTGTGGAGAAGCCCGGCCTGGCCCAGTGCCCAACCTGGCCCCACTCCAGACCTGCCCCTAGGGCCACGGTCCTGCGTGTCCCTGGAGCTTAGGGGCACTGACCACAATGGAGATGCCAGGCAGGGCAAGGAGGGGCACCCCGAGCTGGGCACCGCAGTGTACTGCACACTTGCACACTTGCCCTGTCCACCCTCAACCCCCTCACAATACGACTCTCCCCTGCAACACACACATGCAAAACACAACTGCGTCCCAGGCCACATGTGGGCCAGCCCAGCACCACCGCCTGCACAGCCACTGCACCTGCTCACACACTCCATGTTGGGGGTGCATCTCCATTCCAGGAGCCCCTGGAGCAGGCTGGTCCTCGTGGGAGCGCAGCTGCTCAGCCCAAAGGGCAGATGCCAATGGGCCCAGGCCACCCACGCTCCCTGGCACCAGTACCCTTGAGCGCTTACTCCCTGCCTGCAGCCCCAACCTGGCTTACCCCTGCCCTGCTGGGCCCTTACAGACAGCAGCACCCTTGCTCTGTGACCAGCTTCCCTCAGCCTGGTGTGTGGGTGGCAGCCAGGATCAGGGCACAGGGGCAACTTCCAACCAGGCCCACAGCTCCTTGGGCCCAATTCTGCCCCAGCTGCTGCTCTGCTGGGGATGGGGGGATTGGGGGGGGCAGAGGGCTGGGCTCTGCCAGGGGAGAGGGAGCTTCTTGGTTTCCTGCACCCACAGACTGGAGTTTGGGGTCCTACCCGCCCCCAGCCCCATTGCTACCCACCTCCCCTGCTCCTTCCACCTAACCTTGGAGCCTCCCTGCCTGAGGGGCTATCAGTGCAGCCTGGCTCCAGTTATTGACAGGACGGGGCTGGCCCCCTCCACCATGACCCTTCATTACAGAGCCTGTCTGCTCACATCACGTCAGCTGCTGGCTGCACACTCCTGGACCCAGGGCGCCAAGCTGCCCCAGACCCATCGCACACTGCACCTGCCCCTGCTACCCTCACCTTTTGCCTCTCTGCAGCAGGGCACAGCCCAGCAGCTCTGCACAGGCCTGGGGCACAGGGAGCTGTGTGCTCCTACTTGGGGGGCAGATGCTCCCAGCTGTGCCCATCACAGTGGTTTTTGTCCTGCACCTACCCTGGCACGTGCATCCAGAGGGCCTGGTGGCTGGCACTGAGGGACCCCCACCGCAGGTACAGCAGGGGTGGGGGGGAAGGCAAGGCCCAGCCATGCCCAGCGGAGCTCCGTGCTGCAGTGGAGGGGGGACCTGAGCGCCCCACAGAGCTGTGGGCTGAGGAGGGGTAGCTGGGGGCTGCTCTGCAGCTCCATTAGCACTGGCTCTGCCCGGGGCCATCTGTCCTGTTCCCAAGGTCAGCAAGAGAAGGAGCATGCCCTGCTGCAGGGAAAACATTATCATTAGGGCAGAGGAATCAATGAGCTGGACCAGGGAGGGGTAATGGGCCTGGTGGGGGCAGTGGAAGGGGGGGCAGAGCCTCCATGAAATAGTGAGCTCCCTGGAGGGGCAGGCCTAGGGGACGCCCCCCCACTCAGCTCCCTTGGACTCTGAGCTGCGATGCCTCTGCCCAGCCAGCCCCACACCTGGATTATTGCCAGCAGTGCACCAGACAGACCCAGCCCATGTGAATGCTAGAGACACCTGAGGTCTGCTCCTAGGGTGAAGCTGGCTCTGGGGTGGAGCACAGCTAGTTATCCAGTGTTTGCTCAACCTTCAAGGAGAGGCAGCTGGCTCTGGGGTGGGGCATGGGGATGCACCCACCTCTGGGCTGGAGCATGGGGGCTGTTTGGGACAGGAAGTGGAGCAGCCTCCTCCCCCTGGGAAGCCAAGGAGGTGAAAGGTCCTCGCCATACCAGCACACAGACAAGCAGAAGACCAGGGTACATGCCTGCTCCAGAGTCCCAAGCCGGCAGGCAGGCAGGGCTGCCCCTCCTCAATCACTGCTCATTATGATCATTATCTGTACCAGCCGCTCCCAGCAGGGCAGGGCAGGACAGGGCAGGGCCATCAGAGAGCGGGACACTGGGGAGGAACTGACTCAGGGCAGGGCAGGGCCACTGGGGAGCAGGACACTGGGGAGGAACTGACTCAGGGCCCCACTCCAATGCTGTGGGCCCGATTCTGCCCTGACTTGCGCCCAGCACTGTGTAGAGACTGTCCCTGGGGCAGGTCATGCAGGGCAGGGGCCGCTCGGGCCCCCAGGTGCCAGGAAAGGGGGATGGTGCTGCCGCGGGTGCTGGAGATGGAGCAGGGCCATGGGACACAGCCCTGTTCTAGCTACATGCAGGGTTCAGCCCTCCCACCCCCCACACCCCCACTCTTGCTCCTGGCCCTGGGGCCCATGGTGCTCCACAGTGCTGCAGCAAGGGGCAGGGGCCGTCTAACAGCCGGTGCTCACAGTATCCACGGCTGAGCACCAGAGCGAGGCCTGTGCCTGGGGGCAGCAGGCAGCCACGCGGCCCGATTGACCACATTGATTAGGGCTGATTGGGCTCCAAGGGCGCAGGGGGATAATGGGAACAAGGACACGTGTGCGGGGCCGAGCCCCCCTGCCGGGCACAGCCAGTGCCTTTATAAACTGGCGCCGCGTGCGGCCCAGGCAGGACCGCATGGGAGTGCCCAGCCACCCGCCTGCTGCCTCCGGCCTCCTGAACAGAGCAGGGCTTGGAGAGGCTCAGCCCATGCTGCGGGGGCCCTGCCTTCCCATGGGACCCACACCAGGCTCTGACAGCAGCAGGGGTAAGGTCCAGGCTCCCAGGGGCTGCACCAGGGAGTAGCCAAGCCCCCAGGACTAGGTGCCACAGGATGCAGGCACCTTCCTGGTGCCGGGGGGCTCACCCAGCCCAAACTGGTTGTGCGGTTCTCAGTCCCCAGCTCCGATACAGGCTCCAGGTCTGCCTGTCATCATGCACCTGCGTGCTGCATGGACTTGGAGCTCGGCAGGGTGTGTGTGTTTCAGGGCAGGTGAGCTGGGCTGTTTGGGGCTGGAGAAGGTGCAGAGTAGAGAGGGGGCAAGGGAAGAGGGCTGTCAGCCAGGCCAGGGACAGCAGAGGGGGTGGATACAGCCTTTCCTTCCCCTGCCCGTTCTGCACTGGCACCTGGCAGGGGCCCTGGGCAGGGACTGGGGCTGCGGCAGGGGTTAGCATGTCTCCCCGGTCCCTCACACCCTCCTTCTCTCTTCTCTTGCAGGGTGTCTGTGCTGCTGCCTGCCTGCCCACCTGCCTCTGTCTGATATGTTTGATATTAGGTTGTTTTATTGGAAAGCCAACTAAATATCAAACATATTCTTACAGCGCCAGGGCCCCTCGGCACCTGCTTCCCCAAGACGCGCCTGCTTCTACCCCCTGGCCTCTGTCCCAGGATCTGCTGCTGCAATAAAGTGTTTCCCCACCACGCGCTGAGCTGTGTCTCCTTAGCTCCAGCTGGGCCCAAGCAACCAGGCAGGTGGGCCATGGCCCTCACTGGGCTGGGGTCTGGGTCAGGCTGACATCTCAAGGCTGTCCAGGCACCAGGCTCTGCGCTGTGGGGCAGGGAGCAGCCAGCCCCAGGAACCACCCCAACTTCCCAAGGTGCCCCTGTCCTTGCACCCCACTGCTTCATGCACGGCGGCTGGGGTGGGGGGTAGGGGGGTGCTCTGATTCCTGGTCCTCTCCGAACAGGGCAGGGCACCTGCTGCCCTTTGCCATGGGCACAAGCTGGGCAGGGTCTCCTGTGCCCTGGGGCATGTGGGCGGATGGCTGGGATGGTGGTCATGCCCCACGCGCCAGCTGTCAGCTATCAGTGTCAGGAATGGAATGAGCTTGGCTTTGAATAAACATGGCTATGCGCCCAGCCCCCATGGGGGCATTGTGCCAGGGGGGCTTGCCCAAGTGCCAAGTGGTTATTTAAGGTGTTGGTGCACCTCGCTGGACAGACAAACAGCTGAGCCAGGGCGAACTGGAGCTGGGACACCCACTGCCTGCCCTGTGCCCCTGCTCGAGCTGGGGCCAAGCCATGGACCTCAGCTGGGGGCAGGTCCCACACTGGTGGGATCATTGGCAAGGCAGCCTGTGAGCTGCCTTCCCCCCCCACCCCCCCGGTCAGGGCCAGGGGCTCGGGCCCTTCCGTTTGTCTTCACGGAGTGCCGTGAATTCCTGAGCTGGCCCCTGGGATTTGCTCCTCTCTCTCCAGCCGCATCTTCGAAGCCCGGGCCAAGATCTGGAGCAGCTCGAGTAACAGCCCCAAAGTGCCAGGGCCATGGACGGGGCAGAGAGGAGGGGATGGGGGAGACTTGGGGCTGCAGACAGAGCAGTCCTGACCCAGGACCCCCAACTAAAGCAGGCCCTTTTCCATATGACCCTAATACAGATGCATTACTCTCCTGGGAGCCCTCCCATCAGGCCCCTGTGCAGCTCCCCCTTTTCCTTGCTCGAGGGATTCCCTTCCCACAGCTCCCCTGGTCCTCTCTTTCCACAGCCCCAGATCCCCCAGCACAGGGGCCGGATGGGGGGAACCCCGATCTCACTGGTCCTGGCCCCATGGAGGGACAAGACAGATCCCCACAAAATGGCGACAGAGCCCATGAGCTGCCAGGCTCCCCAGTCCCTGGATCAGGCCCTGGTGGTGTTGAACAAGGGGCAGGAGCAACAGACTGGCTTTGGGGAGGGCATTTTACCACCCCACCACTCCAGTGCCAGCACCCTGAGAGCAAGATTGGGCCCCAGGATCGGATCCCAGCCTTGGCACGTCCTTGGGGCAGCAGGACCAGAATAGCCTTGACCCAACGTTTCCATGCACATTGTGCCCAGGGCTGCCTGGGTGCTTGGCTATGGGTACAGGTTTCCAAGCAGGCCTTGCGAATGACAGCCTGTCAGCTGCAGAGGCAGGACTAGGACCCAGGCGTCTGGGCCAAGCGCAGGTTGTGTGTCCTGCTGTCGGGGCTGGCGTGGGCAGGCACATTCTCTGTCTTACCGTGTGAAAATAGCCCTGGGTGTTCTGTTGCAGGGGGGAGAAAACAATCCCCTTGGAACAAAGCAGAGCCCCCCTTCTCTCACCCCCACCTGTGCTTTTTATAACCGGCTCCCAGCTGTCCCACGGGAGCCCAAATATGGCCCTGCCCATGAAGTCATGGAGTAGGCATCCCCCCCATGCCTGGGGCAGGCACTGGAACAATGGGCCCCGAGCAGAGACATTTTGGGAGTGCGGGGAAGCGGCATGGCCCAAGAAAGGTAAAGGCCGGCGCCAGCTGGCAGGGGCGCTGGGATAAAACAGCCGGGTGGGGACGTGCCCAGCACTCGGCAGCCCGAACCCTAGACCGCCGCACACCCCGTCTGCTTGTCCCCGAGGATAGCGAAGATGGAGGCCATCAAGAAAAAGATGCAGATGCTGAAGCTGGACAAGGAGAACGCCCTGGACCGGGCGGAGCAGGCTGAGACTGAGCAGAAGCAGGCGGAGGAGAGGAGCAAACAGGTGGGCGAGGGCAGCCAGCACCAGCCTGGACAGCTCTCTCCCTCCTGCCCCTGCCAGAGATCCGGCACTCCCTGCCCTGCTCCTGGCAGCCAGGGGACCTTGCCTGGTCCAAGGCAGCTGCTCAGGGAGCCCCATGCAGCTGTCTGTCCAGTCCAGCAGCTCCTCCACGGTGTGACTGGCTCTTGCCTGGAGGGGTGCTCAGGGTTCCTCAGCTCCTGTCTGTTCCTGTCAGAGCTGAGTCTGGCTTTGTCTCCTAAAAGAGAAGGGTGCTGCATGGACCCCTGCTCCCGGGCAGTCTTGAGCAGCATGAGTTGGGGCTCCCAGGGTGTCTTCTCTGCTGAGGGGCATCTACAGAGCGCTGACTCCATTCATCCTCCTCCTCTGAACCCCAGAGAAGGGAGGTTTCCTCCTTCAGCTGCCTTGCTTCAAGGTCATCAGGGCTTCATTCCTGGTGGGTTCATGCCTGGGGCTGTAAACCGGTCCTTTCTTTTAAACAGCAGTCAGAGGTTTTGGTCCAAGTAGGGCCACATCCAGCTCTCAGGAGAGACAGAGCCATCATGGGCTCAAGAGAAGCCAGGTGGGTGGTGGGAGCTCCTTAAGCAGTTTGTCCCACTGCACACATGCACGAGGAGAGTCAGGTGCCAGCTGGGGGCACTGCACTGCTCTTGCATACACTGGGGTAAGGCTGGATGGGTCCCAGATCCCCCCAGTGCGGTGAAGCCCCAAGCCCAGCCCTGCAGCACCAAGGTCCCCAAAACATCCCTGCATCTGGCAGGGGGGTGGGGGGGATATGAGTGAGGATCTGTGCAGCTGGCCCTTGGCTGCTGGGGGAGCTTTGCCCAGGCTCTGGCACCCCAAGGGTCGTGGCAGCAAATCGAGGCAGCCAGATCTGCCCCGGTCCTGGGCATCTGCTGCAATGTGACCTCTTGCTCCTGCCTTTGCAGCTGGAGGATGAGCTGGCAGCCATGCAGAAGAAGCTGAAGGGGACTGAGGACGAGCTGGACAAATACTTGGAGGCTCTGAAGGATGCCCAGGAGAAGCTGGAACTGGCGGAGAAGAAGGCAGCCGACGTACGTATGGCAGGGCTGGTGTATGTACGGTGGGGCACAGCACAGAGGGGCACATGCACAGATGCTTTCACACATAAGCAGGTCATGCAGGCACATGCATCCCCCATCACATACGCATGTGGTCTCTATGCTCCCAGGCCTGGCTGGGACCCACACAGCCTGAGCGTAAGTTGGAGCAGCCTCGGGGCTGCTCTTGCTCGCACCCAGCTGCCCAGGGCTGTTCTGGAAGTGGGGGGGAAGCCTGGCTGCATGTCCTCACATCAGACAGGGTTGGGCTGGGCCAGGGGTTAGGCTGGGAGCCCCAGGGGGATTCCCTGAGCTTTGCCCTCACCCTGCAGATGCTGTCCCCCAAGGACCTGGGTCCGAAGCTCACACCCCCCCATCCCTTGGCTTGCATGTCGGCTGCCTGCCAGCACAGCGTGTGTGGGTATTAATAGGCCGCCCGCATACCTGGCTATTCAAGCACAGCTTGGGTTTCAGGTTGACACCGGAGGAGCTCACCCTGTGCTGGTTGCAGCTAGGGATGGCACCCAAGTGCTGCTTTGGGCAGCACAGCTCATGCCGATGGGATATCACCCCTGGCATCCACAGGGGAGAGCAAGCAAGCGGCATAGGTCACCTTCCCCTGGCAGGTCCTCACCCTGGGACTGCAGCCACCACCTCACAGAGGCCGAGCCTGCCCTGTGCCCTGGGGGATCGCCCCTGCTCTGAGGCTTGCAGCTGAGTCTGGGGGATAGGATGAGTGGGCGGCAACTCCCCAGGCCAGGCAGTGAGAGGTGGATGGGTGTGAAGGGTCAGCCCTGCATGTGCCAGGGTACATGTCTGTGCATCAAAGTATCTGCGTCCACATGCCTGTTCATATATGTGTGCTGGTGTGTGTGCATGTGTGCTCTCATGCATGTACCTGGGAAATGCATGACCCGATGCATGTGCAGAGGCCTTCCTGCTGTCACTGGACTTGGCTTGGCTAAGTTGCTCCAAGGTGGTGATGAGAGAAGGGGGCAGGCAGCCGGGGAGGTCAGCTCTGCAGCGAGAGGATGCTGAGTCTGGCTTCGTCCCTTGCCCCTGATTGGCACGACTGTCCGGAGCCAGGCGGTGCATCCCTGGGACAGTGGCATTCGCACCCAGCCCCAGAGCACAAAGCATCCCTTGAGAACAGGGAGAACGTCATCAGAGCTGGCGAGGGTCCATCCCAGCTTCAGTCCTGCCAGGCTCCAGCCTCTGTGCTGGGAGCGGGGAAGCGAGTCAAGAGGGAAGCCTCTCTCTACTCATGCCTTACTGGAGAGGTTACTTAGGATTCAGGTTCCAGTGAGGGGAAGCTCTGAGTCACTGGCAGTCAGCCCCTCCAATGTCCAGCCCGTGGCCTCAGGTCTCAGTGCAGGTCCTAGTAGACCAGAGCATCCTGGCCAGGCTCATTCATGGCCAAGAATCTGGTGACACCAGAGGGGGTGGGAGGCATGGGGGAGCCTGGTACTGGGGGCCATTGTTGCTACTGTCCATGCTGCCCCCACCCTGTCCTCAGAGCTATCAGTGGACCTGTCTCTCCAGCACAGAGTCTATCTAAAAAGTCTCTGTGGTGCTCCCCATTGCATGCAGGGGTGAAGGTGTGAGCATGGGTGGGTGCAGATATCAGTCAGGACAGGATGTCCCCAGTGACTTGTGCTCATGTTCAGAGTAGCAGGGTGGAGAAAGCCTTGTGCACAGGTTTTCTGTGCCTCGCTGCAGCAGCAACTGGGGCATGCAAGCAGGCTCTCTGAGCTGGGTTCTTCCTTCCCAGGGCCTGCCCTACTTCTGGCCTAGGGAGCTGAGCTGTGGGGAGCAGTCACAAGCCCCTGGAGGATTTCTGCTGGTGTGGTGGGAAGCAGCTTCCACAGAGCCATGCTCAGGGGCTCAGCACAGTGACAGGAGTGACAACACCAGGGTGGGGGCACAAGGACCACAGGGTGACACCACTGGGAAGCCCCTGTCCTTGAGCTCCAAGCCTGGGAGGCAGGTCAGGAACAGCTCATCAGCAGCGTTCGGCCTCCATGAGTCACCCGTGCAGGGATGGTTTGGCCAGGAGCTGGGATCCACAGACATAAAAAGCCTTGTTGGCCTGATGGGGGATGAAAGCACGGCGGCCACCTCGACAACTGCACAGGCCTGCTATTGTTGGCTGCAGTTTCCAGGAAAACAATGGCACAAGCTGCGCGGGGCTGTGCCCCAGCCACCCGCCTGCCCATCCATCATGCAGCTAAGGGCTGTCAGAGCCCCTTGCAGCTGCTGTGGGGAATTAGAAGGGGTTTATCTGTCCATATTTATCATCCACAGATATGTGAAGGATGACAGAGCTTTCAGCACCCTGTAATAGCACCCGCATCCCCTGCCCGCGGTGGGAACATGAGCCCCTGGGAGACGGTGCCCAAGGATCTCCATCGGGGCTGGAGCCAGGAGGACAAAGTGTGTCCCCTGCTAACAGTAAGCGGAGTAGGGGCCTTGCCGGCTTCCCAGCCCAGTGCTGAGACTCAAGGCTGCATCACAGGGCAGCTGGAGGTGGGGACCCATCCCCTTCTGTTAAATCTGGCACTAGGACCAAAAGTTCAGGGTAGCCTCAGAGACCTGGCTCCAGGTTAGGAGAGGGCAGAGCTGGCCCTAGGGGAGCTCTCGCAGTGCCCCACACTGGTGCAACAGGTGCGTGAACAGGAATCCTCATCCCCTGCACTCCTCAGCCTCTGCGCTGGGGGAGGTTTCTTTGCTCAGAGCTTCTTCCATCAGGGCTAGTCCAAAGTGGCCCTGAAGGATGCGAGCAGTCTCAGTGCACTCCTCTCAGCCTTCATGCTAGCCAAGCACCCGGCTTCATCAGAGTGCAGCCAGGAAGCTGAGGCTTCCTTGTTCAGTTGCGTGCTGGGGTTTCCTTCCCCTCCTCCTGCTTCTCTTTGCTTCCCCTCTGCTCCTTTTCCTTCCTGCCCAAGTTCCTGCAGTGCAGCAGCTGGGCCCAAGACCTCTTCGCTGGCACTAGCCAGTTAGCATGAACAGCCCAAGCCAGATAATCCCTCACCCCGCCACATGCTTGGCTTGACTGGCCGTGCTGCCCTGGCCTGGATGATGCTGGTCAGTATGGCCCAAGTGCACGTGTCTCTGTCCCACTGCCCATGGGTAGGGGAGTGGGGGGAGGGTTGCACCTGGCACACGCACCCTCGGGAGAACCTAGATCTGCATGAACATGCCAGGGATGGCCAGCAGACTTCAACTAATAGAACAGGCTCATTGCAGGGCCCGGCGAGGCTGGCAAGAGTCAGGTAATTGGAGAGTCTGATCAGGCCTGGCTAGCGCTTCGCACAGGCTGTCCAGAGACCTGCGGGGTGTGAGTAATCATCACAGGCGAACCAGCTGTGCAGGGCTCTGTCCTCTGTGCTGCTGTTGTCTGCGACACAGGCAGGGGATGGGGGAATGCTGTGTCTGCCTGGCAGGAGGGAATCAGAATGGACAGATGCACTGGGGAAAGGAATCCCAGTCCTCCCTCAGGTCTGCACAGCCCATCGGCTCTGGATTCTCAGGGGCTGGTTGTCAGTGTGAACGGCAGCAGCAACGTGGGGCTAGTCTAGGGGCTGGTCTGAGCTCAGGCAAGTGAGGTTTTCCCTGAATGGGGATGGGGTAAAGGCTCCAGGACTTGGACCCTACAAAGTACAGCTGGGTTTGACCTCACAGAAAAAGGGCAGTTCCTTTGAGTCCCTCTGCACATGGATTGACTTCAGTCCCTCTGAAACGCAATACCAGGAAAGTGATGGGTGGATGCAGTCACGTCAGATTAGATCTGCCCGTTAGTGGCTTTGTTTGTGCCTGGACATTTCCCAGCACAAATGAACCTCATCTGGGCTGCTTCGGAATTGATTTCAGGCTGTCTCTGTGCAAAGCTGCATGGGCCTAGCTGAATGGTACAGCTTGGATACAGCCCTGGCACATTGTGGAGGAGGCACAGGAGATACCAGGGCAAATGTGTGTGGCCTTGTGCAAGCAGCAATGTGGCAGCAGCAGCTGCAGGGTTCTGGGGCTAAGGTGTCTGCTAAGGAACTTTTAATTTTTAAGTGCAAATGCACAGGCTGCGCATAATGGGTTTGTTGTGAGGGAAAGCAGTCAGTGGCCTTGGTCGTGTTGAAAATTAGCTTCTCTGTGCAAAATCCACAAAACAGAGGAAGGCTGCTTAAAGTTAAGCTCTTCCAGCTCTGTGCCTCTAAGAGCGGAGGTGTGTGGAGAGGACTCAGGACCGGCTACAGCTAGTGTGCTTCTGGACATGTGTGCGGGGGAGGATCAGAGATATCCTGTCCTGGGGCATTTTAGAGCCCAGGACTTGGAAGCCACAAATTACAGTGGAAAAAAAATGTGACCCTTGAAGCGGAAGGCACTGGATTAGGAGATCTATTACAAGCTCCAGATCCTTTTGCTTCCAGTTACCCTGGTCTCTAGTGACCGTGGCCAGATTCTCAGCTACTGTAAATTGCTGTGGCTCCCCTGACACTACTTTGCCCCCACTGAGAACCCAGCCCTCCCCACAGGGAAAAAGTCTAGTGCGGACTCCACGAATCATGAGAGTGATTCATGTGTCATGAGAGTCTTAGCAATCACCCCTTTGGGGGTCCTTGGCGTTTGCCTCCAGCTCCTGAGCCTTCAGGATTCCCATTTGGAGCCTTTTCCTGAGGACTGGAACTTTTTGTTTTTAATGTGAAAGCTGCAATTCTCCCCCAGTCGCATGACTGGAGGGAGGGCTAAGGAGGACACCAGATATTGCAACACTGGTGATATAGTTATGGTACCTAGCAGCACTGCTGGCCCTGCAACTCGTTCCTGAGCTGGCGGCTGGTTCACAGCCCTGTAGAATGAGTCGGGCATTGTGATACGTTTCTCAGGCACTGTGTTTTCTTTCCCACAGCTGGTTGGGGGCAGAACCAGGTGGGCAGACTCGGGCTAAGGGACTTCAGCAGCTTTCAGCGGGTGGAGAGTCCTCCAAAGACCACTGCCAGCTG